ATAGATAGATAGATAGATAGATAGATAGATAGATAGATAGATAGATAGATACTCTCTCTGTGTGTATGTGTGTGTGTGTGTGTGCCTGTGTGTAGAATATTTTGTAAATGTTACTATTACTAAAGTCCCTCAGAATTTGGTTTATCATCCAAAAGTCATTCAAAAATGCACTTTGATTTCTTTTTTGTTTTCGTTTTTTGCTCCCCATTTCATTTCACAAGAGGAGCCATGGAGCCTAACAGCATTAGGCTTTAACGCTTCTGTTGATTTTTAGAATGCAGCAGCATATGCTATATCAATAGCTTTGTTGTTTTAAAACCAAAACAATCTGCCAAACAGGAAGAAAAGGGACAAACGCAGGTCATTGAGTGCTGCTTTTTTATGTTCAAGGAAGACAGATGCTGTTTGTCAGGAATTGACCCTTTTTTTTACCTGATCCAAGGTAATGGCAGCGAGAAACCAAATTAGCGAAGAATTTGGCTTATCCAAGAAAGAGCAGTGGGCAGGTACATTCTGCTGAATCCTCTCTGTTTGACTCCTGCTGCCTGCAAGAGTGATAAAAGAACCCCAGGGAGCTGTGTCTAATATGATTTATGCTGATACATCAACCAGCAACTCTCACTTGCTCTTCCTGGAAGATGCCCATCAGAATCCAAGAAGTCATGGCATCTGAGAAGAACAATGACAGGAAAATGAAAACACCAAAAGATTATTTACCACCAACATCAAAAGATACATAATTCAACCAAATCTAGATCTATGAAGTTCTGGTTTCAATTCCACTTGATGAGTGCCAGAATATTTTGCCCAACTTCACATGAATTCTCTTAAATATATACTCTTAAATAAATACTGATAGTAATTCTCCGATTATTCATTTTAATCTCAGTTTTGTTAAACTTAAGTCAAAGACACATACATAGCACACATTTCATTGTTCAACCAGGTAATGTCATAAGCGCTGGTGAGTGTGAGTTTGATTGAACCCTACATAAGTTCTCTTCTTTTGTATATCCCAAAACTGCATTTTCAAAAGGCAATTGGACTTTGTTTTTCCTTGAAGACATTTCACTTCTCATCCAAGAAGCTTTTTCAGTTCTGACTGAATAGTGGAGGAAGGAAGGGTTTATATTCCTTGCGGTCCATCTGGTCATTAGCACTCTTTTTGAGAGTCATTGATGCCTTACAACACAGTCCTTTCAGCAGTTCCAAGAATGTTCCACAGCCATTTACACTATTTAAGTGACCCTGAGATCACAGATAAACCTCCAAGTGGCCTCAATAGCTCTTTTTGCTGACAACCAGATCACCGCATGAAAAATAAATCCTTCCATCTTCCACCATTCAGTCAGAACTGAAGAAGCTTCTTGGATGGGAAGTAAAATGTCTTCAAGGGAAAGCAAAGTCCATCTTTGGGGCAACCATGACTTGGATAACTAAGAATCTCCATGGACATTCTTCTTTTGGAATCACACATGAGTGCCAGATACTTGAGAGAGCATGCAAATGGGAGAAATGTGCCCGTAGGCAAATCTCCACCAAGGAACAAGGATTATTTCTACATGAATGTCTATAATAAACAGGGAGCAAAGCCCGCATTCTCTCGCACTAATTAATTTACCTAGTTGGCTAACGAAATATCTGCAAGCAAACAACCAAACTATCATGTCCCTGGTGGAGACTGACTCTGAGGGAGAGGAGGAACAGCTGACAGGGTGTGGAAGTGTGGCTCCCCAGGTTGTGGAGGAGGCTAGGGAAGGGCAGGGGCCAGCTGGGCAGTCAGAGGAGGACTCAGGCCCATCCCCTCTCCATCTTAGGGCACGCAGGGAGGAGAGGATAAGGGAGAGACGTGGTCTACTCGGGAGGAGAGGGCCTTGATCCTCTTCATGGGCAGCTGTGACAACTGGATAAGAGGACGGACATGCGTACGGGCGAGTGCTGGAAACAAAGTGTGGAAATATCTCTAGTTTACTGTTCCTCTCTGAGTTTGGTGTCCTTCCCAGTGTGTGCTCTGGTATCTGTGGACATCTTCAAGCCCTTCTCTTGCCTGGTTTGTACTGTTTTTTACTCTTTATAATTTAAATGGCATTTCCTCCTTCTTGTAACTGCTTGTGGGGGAGTTTTTTTGTCTCCAGTCAAGGATATTTGGAGCTTGGAAGCAAAGTGAAGGAATAAAAGGGGCTTCACCTGTTTCTTGTGACTGTATTTATTTTGTATTCCACCCTGGGTCATCACACAAACTCAAAGTGCACCAAAGACTCCACAAAACGAAACAAGAACAAAGCAAATAAAACACTCTACCCTTTCAACTGGCCAATACAAGAGAATGATTCTTCCATTGCAGCAACAATTACAAGAAAGACCATGATTTTAAGAGGGTTAGGAAGTCAGAAGCAGAACATATTAGAATAGTAAATGAACTGAAGAAGCTTCTTGGATGAGAAGCAAAATGTTTTCAAGGAAAAAAACCCAATAAAGTCCAGTTGCCTTTTGAACAGCAACTTTGGGACAACTATGACTGGATGACTCTCCATAATCATTTGGTTGTCAACTGTTTTCCAGGCTTAAATTCAAAGCATTTACCTTTAAATCTGTTAAATACTTTAGTAAAGTTGTTTAGGCCAGTTATCTGATAAAGCATCTGTTTCATTACAAATATGCATGAGTAAAGATCTATGGTAAAAGCCCTTTTGAGTGTATGCTTGATTCACAGAAAGTCTTATTTGTTAAGCAGACAAATAAAATAATAATAATAACTCGCCTTGTAAGCATTTCCAAATCTAACTCTGCTTTGAACAATGCTTGATACACTTTTAAGACAATGTTGATAATTGAACACACTTTTACTACATAAATAAATAAATAATTGTTGGTTTGGGTCTGCCTGACTTTGGTTGTATTGACTAGATGATAACTTATGAAATGAATATTTCAATAATATAAATAAATATATGTACTAATCTGAGGAATGCTTCATGAGAAACAAACAAGCAAGCTGGATGGGCTTTGCCACCAACTAGTTTATTTCTCTCAGATACCTGTTTTGGATATACTGTAGAGCAAATAAGCCTTACTAAGAACTTATTATTAGCATTGAAAAAGATCCTCAGTGTGATTGGCATTGCCCATATTCAGAAGTGGGATTCTACCAGTTTGCACCTATTCGCTAGAACCGGTTGTTAACATTCTAAGCAGTTCGGAGAACCGGTTGTTAGAAGAAATTACTGGCCTAATCCTATAAGGAAGGCAGGAAGGAAACATTCTGGTGTTGCTTATAGAAACTACCTCTCCGTTAACCCTTATTACATTCTTGGCAGGACTAGACTTCCTGTCTCAGGAACGTCTCTGGAGTTTTTTTCGCCTCCTTTGCTGGTACTTTGCTTGTGTGGAGTGACCATTCAAAGTTACAATGGCACTGAAAAAAGTGACTTATGACCGTTTTTCACGCTTACGACTATTGCAGCATCCCCACAGTCACGAGAGGCCAGGCGAGGAGATGCGTTGAGTTGGCCACGCCCAGCCAGTAACATGACCACCAAGGCACGTCCACCACCTAGGCCACGCCCACAGAACCGATTGTTAAAATTTTTGAATCCCACCCTTGTCCATATTCAATAGTTGGAGAATACTAGAACTCGTTAAACTGTTGTGATCTTTGGAGCGTCATGGGGATAATTAGAAATCCAGACAGCTGCATAAGATACCCGGCAAGTTTACTCTGCCACCATAGACTAGTTCTGCATTTCTTAAATCAAATTAGAATGCCGTGTTTAAAAGCCCTTTTTAAATTCATTTGTTATACAGGCAGTGGACATTTTCAGCAGGACTTAAGCATGTTCTGGAGAACGTGGCCCTCGAGAACAGCACTTCTGTAAGGATGAGGGCTTGATGGGGTCTTTTAGAGCAGCTTTTCCTCCACTTTGTGATTTCGACATGAACCGGATTACAGACTCGCTCATCTCTGAACTGCCTGATAGATAGTCCTAATTATTTGTAATTACAGGTAGCTTTGCTTTGAGCTTAGACTTTACTTAGGCATATTCAGAACCCGACTGCAAGGTAGTTTTCGGTAAGGTAATATCAAGAAACGCAATGAAATGGATGTAATTGTACCATTTGTATAGTACAGTTTAAATCATGAGCTTTCCCCCCTCCCCCCCCTTTTTTTTTCTATCAGGTGCAGGAATCCGAACTGTTAGATGTCAGCTTTGTGAAAGATGCGCGATGTGGGAAACATGCAAGAGCCCCTAAGGTAGGAAACATTTCTTTGTGCGTTACAAATGTTGCAGTCATCATCTAGCATACAACATGAAGAACATGCTAAAAGAAAAGATGCCTTATGTATGTATGCCAGTGCTTGTTTCCTTTCTATTAAAGAACGTGTGCTAGGACATGCTTTATAGCCGGAAATTGGACGTGTTTTGCGCAATTTTTAAAGAATGCCTTTGAGGGAAACTGTTGTTGGGGTAGCTGTGTGATAAACCTGACTCAATAACTGCAGATATTCTTGATTTAATACAAATTCCTTAGCCCAGATATTGTACAAGTTAGAAATGACGTTTGTGTTAATCTGAAAGTCTTAATTCAATGAGTGAATGACTTCTCCACACAAACATTCCTCCTGGAAGATACTGGTTAGCGTTCTCCTTGTGAATAAATTACTCAAAAAATCCCTCTGATGTTTACATTACGCTGCTAATCCTGTGTTAATTTTCCTTGTATAGAGGATTTCTTTTTGTTCACGAAAGAGAATGCCATAATCTAATTTGCCCAATGGTAGTCTACTGTTTCCAGGTGCAGTGTGCCTGACAGGTGATACGTAGACTTACTCTGATTACACAATTTCTTCACAGTTTCTTTTTGCTTTTGTGAATATTGCCTTGAAAGCCACATAGTCTGTTTTAAAAAAAAAAATTAAACACATTGATTAATCAAATCTTGGAGACTTCAGTTGAATATATCTTAATGGAAGCATTCCTTGGGTTTCCCTTGTTTTCATTCGCAGGAATGTAGGGCATATTATTGCTAGCCCTGCATGTAGCCATACAAGACCTCAGCGTATGTTTTCACTACTACTTAGACTAAGGTTAACTGTGAGGTTTTTTAATGCATTAATGAGACCTCTTGTGCTTTATTGGAAAGCATATATTGTGTCAAATGATTTGAAAATATTGATGGAAGTGACTATAATTATGATCCAGCCAAAAAAATCGAGCCAAATTAGTTTGAATAATTGCTTTCACGAGAAGCTGGAAGTATTCTATTGTCCCTTTTTAAAGGGATCTGTAATGACCCAGGGTGGGATACAAAACAAACACAGTCACAGAAAACAGGTGAAGCCCCTTTTATTCCTTCACTTTGCTTCCGAATATCTTCGACGGAAGACAAAAAATAAAACTCCCACACAAGCAGTTACACGAAGAAGGAAAAAAGCAACACAAACCAGGCAAGATAAGGGCTGGTAGATGTTACTGAGAAGGACGCCAAACTCAGAGAGGACTATAAAGTAGAGATATTTACACACTTTGTTTCCAGCGTTTGCCAGTATGCAGGTCCAAATTCTTATTCAGTTGTCACACCTGCAGCCCATGAAGAGGATCAAGGTCCTCTCCTTTCGAGGAGACCATGTCTCTCCCTTATCCTCTCCTCCCTGCGTGCCCTAGGATGGATAGGGGATGGGCCTGGGTCCTTCTCTGACTGATCAGCTGGCCTCTGCCCTTCCCAGCCTCACCAACAACCTCCAGAGCCACACTTCCACTCCCTGTTGGCTGTTCCTTCTCTCCCTCAGAGTCAGTCTCCACCAGCAGCATGACAGGATCACTAATCAGTGATTGATTTTAGACACACACACACCAAACTGATTTTTAATAGCATCAGGATGCATTGAGGACAGTCCTTCTCACCTCTCATTTACAATACTGTAATTTGACCTTCATAAGCCTATCCTTGAAGACGTGAACAAGCATGCTTGCATTATTTATTGATCAGCCTTAGTCCTGAAGAGCTGTGTTGGATATCAGCATGTTTCTGAGTACAAGCCAAGGGGTTGGTCTCTATTTTTAATGGCTTGGAACCTGGCCATGTTTTCCTAAATCAAATCTGCCCAATTAATCCAGGGAGCTTCTTGTCAGAGTACCCACCTGCCATGAGAGGTGGGAGTAGGAGGGCTCCCATCTCATTCCTGGTGCGATGGAAAGCAGGGTCCCCAATAGCTTATCATATGAGGCAACTCTTAAGCCTTCTAGAAAGATGTTGGGTCTTCAAGGGCAGGGGTCCCCAACCACCGGTCCCCAGACTGGTACCGGTCCGTGGATCATTTTTTACCGGGCCGCAAAGCTTGGGCACTGCAATCTTGTTTCGACGGCACTTCTGGGTTTTTGGTTGCTTCTGGGTTTTCGGTTGGAAAGTAGCATTTGGGTGCTCGCGCCTTAGTTTCATCGAAGGGGGCGGCAGCTTCGAACGAAGAGCCGTCCCGATGGCGGTAGAGTTTCACGTTACTCAGGTACCGGCCCGTGGAAGAATAAATAATCGTGAAACCGGTCCCTGGTTCAAAAAAGGTTGGGGGCCACTGTTCAAGGGTTTTTTGAGAATGAGTCTCAAGTCATCGGTGTATGTTTTTATTTCTGTTATACTTGTATATGGCCTATTGTTTTGTTATTACTGACCACTGCATTATTATTGGTACTGTATACCAGGGATCGCCAACCTTTTGGACCTCAGGGACCACCAAACTCATAATTTTAAATCCCGTGAATCAGAGACCCTGGGAAAATTCCCCCCAAAAGTCTGCAGGAAAATTCCTCACCCCATTTTCCTACCGATCGATCATTCTTTATTTGGGATCGCAGGATACTGCCTCCAGCTCCGTTCTCAGGGGGAGAGAGAGAGACAGAGACTTTTGGCTTCATGCAAGGAAAGCAGCAGAAGTTTTTCTTTCTCTCTCCCAAACGCCTCCCCAAATGAGTCTTTGTGAGACTTGTCATGCTGGTGCAGCCTCTTGGAGCAGGATGCCTTGCAGGGTGCCAAAGACTTATTTCTGGCAGAGTTTGGGGGAGTGAAAGGGGCATGCAGCCAAAAGCAGAAGAAGAAAGAAGCGGAAAGAAGCATCCCATGGCCAGGCCAGGCACATGGGGCACGGGTAAGTTCCCCCCCTCCGCCCTTTCCTCCTTCCCCTCACTACCTTGTATTGTGTTCCCATGGGCCATGTGGGCAGCGCAGCCTTGTGTTCCCATACAGCCTGGATTAATTGCTTTGGGGTGTGCTTTGGGGGTGACATTTCTCTGCAGACCACCAAAATTTTCTCATGGACCACCAGTGGTCCCCGGCCCACTGGTTGGCAACCACTGCTGTATACTGCCTATAGTCTAGCAAAATTGAACTGGTATAAATAACATTTCATGTAAAGTCAAATATTGTTGCATTTACTGCATATTAAATTGTGAATATCTTGGTGAGAGCCATGTGGTATTTTATGTGGTCATTAACCTCTGCACGTCTTCTTTCCAAATAAAAGGTACCCTTAATAGCATTTGTGGAAAACCCAACTCTCAAACGCATAAACAAGCAGTATCCTTGCCCTTTTCTTAATTAAAAATGGCAGCTTTGTGTGAAACTGGTTGTGCACTTGAATATGATATTTGGCTAACAGCTATTTCTGTGGTATTTTGCTCTTCTTCCGAGGACCCACTTCAGGGCCAAAAAGCTTTTTAAAAGGCTAGAAGTGTAATTGAAAATTCACAGTAGCAGTTCATGGTGCTTGCACATAAATACCAAAGTAGTTCTCCCTGTTATTGATTTTAAGATGAATAGCACAAGAACATTTACAGTATCTAAAAGTGAAAAGTAAAAGGTGTTTTTAGCATATCATTATTTTTAAAATAGTGAAGGATATGTAGAATATTTTTGCATCCTAAATATATAACTTTGCATCCCAAATACAGGTAGCCCTTGACTTATGACCATTTAGTCACCTACCATTCCAAGTGCTGAATGAATGGCAGCTACAACTGGTCCTCAGAGTTCCAGGCATCCCACTCCTCACCCCCAGTGGTCATATGATTGCAATCTGGGTTCTTGGTAACCTATTTGCAATTAGGACTGGTTGACAAATTTCCTGCAACCATAGGATTGCCATTTGCAATCTTCCCTGCCAGCTTCCCCAGAAAGTTAATAGGAGGAGTCTTCCCTACCAGCGCACCTTCCTCCAGCCCCTTTGCGCTTACACCACACCAGCCATTTGTGCACCTCGGAGCACCAGACCTGTTCCATATCTCACACATCCTTCTCAAACAGTATGGCACTTCTTGCACAGTCCGGTGCACCCTGACCTGTGCAGCACTTCTTACACACTCTTTTTGACCTGTGCCAAAACCCTCTGGATTTTCTCTGAGCACTGGACCTGTTCCACATCCCATGCATCCTCTCCAAATCTTGTGGCACTTCTTGCATACCTGTTGCACCCCTTCTCAACCAATGTGATGCCCCTTCTGCATCTTGTTGACACCTTGTGCACTTTCCCTGACCAATGTAGTATCTGTCAGAGACACTTCTTATCCTGTACATCCCAGAGGTGGTATTCAGCAGGTTCTGACCAGTTCTGGAGAACTGGTAGTGGAAATTTTGAGTAGTTCAGAGAACCAGCAAATAGTACCTCTGACTGGCCCCGCCCCCTCTATTCTCTGCCTCCCAAGTCCCAGCTGATTGGCTGCGTTTTCTTTTGTTGCCTTGCACAGGAGAACGGAGCTGGAAAGCAGGTTAGCGAAATGAGGAGGGAATGGGGATTTTACAGTATCCTTCCTTGCCATACCCACCAAGCCATGCCCACAGAACCAGTAGTAAAATTTTTTGAATCCCACCACTGACACCACCCCTCTTAAGCCTTGTTCATCCTTCCTGACTCTCCTCAACCTGCATAACTTCTGTCAGCCCTTCCAGGTAAGCCAAGTAGGAAGCATGACCAGGTGAGTTAGTTCTACTTTATTGTTAGGCAACATTAACACAATCTTGCAAGTCTGAAAGTACAAATCTCCTGCCTTCTCTTTTTGCAGCCTAGGTCCTTCTTTTTCTGACAGTTAAGCCAGTGAACTTCCTCTTCCCCTTTTCTGATCCTTCCTTAGGCAGCATTTCTTCCCCTCTTCCCGCAAGATCATTCCCACATTGCATTGCCAACCTTCTTGCAAACCCTGATGTCCCACTATTGGGACCCTTCCCTACAGCCTCCCGTTCCCTCCCTTTGCTCCACCCAGCAGCAGC